AGCTGACGATCATGCATTACTGCTTCTTGGAGAGAGTGGGTCGAGCTCGTTACCACGGCGAGGTCACTCAAGGCAAGCTCAGCTTGGCTGCGCTCAAGGAGGACCCGAAAACCCTGTTCTATCATCGAAAGTTTCTGCTGCATCACAAGCTTATTACGAAGCAGGGCCATCATCAGAAGAGCGCCGGCCACAGTGGCAGCGGTAGCCTCCTGCATCTGCCCCGCTTCTACGTGGAACGAAAGCCGAAGATGCTCTACCTGGCGGAGCAGGTGCTCGACATTCTACGATCCAAGAAGGACGGCGCGGCCGAGTACGACGAGATTAAGAAGAAGCTCGGAATCGAAAATGCTATCAAGAAGCTGTTTAGATCCGCTTACTTTCAAAAAATCGTAAAGACGGACATCTGCGTGCCGTATAGAACTTTGTATCCCAATGCCGAGCCCAACGAGTGGCGACAGAAGCAGGACCCTTCGAAGGAGAAAAACATTAGAGTCGTGCAGTTGATGTATCCGGACGCCAACATTAATGATATGTGGAATAAGGAGGAGAAAGATGACGATGAAGACATCATTGAGGTGAATGTGTCTGATCACAAGTTTAATGTTCCTTGTCTCAAACAAGCAAACTATATCATTGAGGCCAGTCGATTCGAAGGCATATCTCAAGGTTAGTGGTAAATCCTCGATTTTGGTAATTTTAAAGTGTTCTTTAACATCTAAAATCTTCATACAAATTATTGTAATATCGCAAAATTAATGTGTCAGTTACATAGTTTTTAAATTAAACGAATAGAAGTTGAGTTAGTTTGAATTATTATATATCTTTTTAGCTGAGTTGGGACACAAGATGGGTCTGACCAAATTACAATCCAGGTCATTTCTGAGGAATATGGTAAAAGCGCGTATCATCGCAACGTACATGAACGACATAGGCCGGCAGCGGATTACAAAGTATGTCGCGAAGAAATTCGAGAAGAACAGCACAATGAGTAAGCAGTTTAACAAAGAAGTGCACAAGATCAAGGAACTCACCAAGAAACTGACCAGCAAGAATGAAGCGACCTTGCAAACGGAAAACGAACAGCATCCCGCGGTCCCCGAAGACGACCAGACGAATCAACGACAACTCTGTTTTGATCATAACGTTGATAAGATGGAAACTAATACGGTCCTTGATATAGACAAAAGTAAAGAGGAAAATAAATGTGTCGATGCAAATTGTGCTAGAAAGGAAACGGAATTGAAGAATTTGTTTTATGTTGTTAATAGAATCTTGCGTAAATATAAATTGTCCAAATTTCGATCAAAGTACAGACTTACAACGTCGAAATCTTTATTAACGAAGACCAGCAAGCCCGATATCAGCGCCAAGGAGCAGAAGGCGAAGCTCGACGTTTCGCTCACGTCTATGGAGCTAATCGCAGCTGATGCCAGAGCCACGTCGTTTTATAATAGCATAAAGACAAATTTGACAGCGCAAAAACCCGTTCGCACCGGCAAGGGTGTCAGCGAAGTTTTCGGTTTTATGGAAGTCGTGCAGAACAGCGAGAAAAAGAAAGTTACATACAGGTGTGCACAAGCATGTATACAATAAGTAGAAGTAAATGATTAAATTAACGAGTAGATTGAATCGCTATTGCCAGAGAGAAGTGCAATCAATTAAAAGAGAATATAAATCCTAACTTTCATTGCGTATAATTTTCTTTTTTGTAATATAAAATTTATATTTATTAAATGTTTGTAACTTGAATAGACCTTTTTATAATTTAGAAATTCTTTCTAATTATCAATATCAGTGCCGTTACATATTTTCTAATCTTACATTTAGATTGTTAAAGCGTGCCAATATGATAATCGAAGCAGTGAAGGAGCACCAAGTGATTGATGACACGGCAAAACTCATGAAGATGATCTATAAGGAGGAAAAGGATGAGAATTACGTTGTGAAGATTGACAAGAAGTCTCTTATCAGGCTGCTGCAGAAGCTTGCCAAGGACAATCTTGTGAAGAACATCAAGTTGACCTTGAGTGCAAATGGACGTGAGAAGAACTTGATGTTCATTTGCGATCCCAACATCGATACGGATCATACCGTCATTAAGTCGGCCGTCGAGCAAGCAAAGGTCAAGTTCTGCTTATTAGCGTCTCAGAAGGCAAAGGTGGTCTCGAAGAAAACGGTGGACAAGCACGACAAAGTGGATAAGGCGGACAAGACGTCGTCGGGCTCGAAGGAACAATTGCAGGAGCTCAACAAGACCGCGTCCAAATTGCGCTCCGCGAACTACAAGTACGACGCCAAGGCTGGCAAGCGCTACGGTCTCAGCCCGAAATTCATCAGGATGCGAACAATGCACGTACTGCTTTTCTACCTGGTCTACGATCATCCCGGCGTGCCGAAATTATCTCAGCAGGAACAGGTGAAGATTCTCAAGTTTAACGGATACGAAATCGACGACGACCTCGTGCAGGAGTTCAGTACTATTTACAACAGCGAAGTAAGCTGGAAGATGTTCATCCCGCCCTTACCTAAGCACAGTGGATGGCCCGAAGGCTGGACGCTGATGTGCGACGTACTGCTAGGGCTGCCTCTGTCGATTTTCACCAAGATACACAATATCACCTTCCAGATCCCGGAGTTGGAGCACTATTTGAGCCACCCAATCAGAAAGCATTATCTAGTTAAAAACCTCCCGGTGAGTTCGAGACTTTTTAAGGATCGTACGTGCGTTATAGAAAGTTTAAAAATGCGAATACTTGAACAAGCAGTTTCCGATATTGGCAATCCTGATCGTCACTTTCTTGCGAATTGGTTGAAAGAGTCAAATGTTAGGGCCAGTTTCACATACGTCGGTCTACTACTGTCCCATATTAGGGTCCTGTCTCATAATAGGGGACTCGTCTAGTAACAATAAGATAGAAAAAGATGGGGAGTTGACTGAACTGTGGTTAACATTGTTAACAATTGACCGACATTTGTGAAACTAGCCCGTAAGCTCGAGAATTTGAACGCGGATTGTTCTGTCGCCACCACATTAGTGGTCTCTGCGATAGAAATTTGTGTTAATAATGTTTAGTTTTTTAACTATTGCTTCTTTTATTTTCAGGTCACCATACGCAATACTCTCCTGCATGCGCGCAAGTATATATTCAATATCCACGACACGATAACCAGACTGGGCTATATCGGCCTGGTGCAGTTTGGTCCACAGCGGCTGAAAGATAAAGATCAGGTGTTTATCTACGTGAACCGGCGCACGGAATTGATGGATACGACCTCTTCGGCGCCGGGCTATCACAAGATCGAGGACAAGACGTACCCGGTGACTAAATATCTCTTCGAAAGCACGCAGGTATTGTTAACTGTCACATTATTGTTTGATACATTTACAGAAATACGATCGAATCTCAAAATATTTGCTCTACGCTTTGGAATTTGTCTCTTTGAACATCGCGAGACCAAATATGGTCTTCGCTCTTTACTTGTAAAGGTATTTTTGTTTAGAATGCTAAAATTACTATATTAGCCTTTCCCACACAGCACAGAAAGATTGCAGGAAGATTGCAGAAATGTTACATTGCAAGATTGCAATATTGCAGTGACGTTGCGCAACATTGCTGCAACGTTTCTGGAGGATTGCAGCAACGTTAAAATGTCCGCCCTCAGAGAGATTGCAGTGCAACATTATAGCAATGTTGCGGTGCAATATTTTTGGAATAATTTGTTGTACATTAGCAGAGAATTTACTAATTACATATGCATCCGGGCCTTTTTCAATACACAGCAAGCTATTGCGAAGCAACCTAAGGAGATTATGTCGCTTCGCGATAGATGGAGATTGCAAGCCACACCGCACTGATCAAGTACTTAATAATTCGCGCATTATTGGATCAACGAAATTAGCATTATAAAATTCTCGTAATTAGAAAAATTTTTTAAATAGAAAATATAGTATTTTTATTATTTTTCAAACATTGCTGCAATATTGCTATCGAAAGTTTGCAACTTTATACCCTTGCAATGTCTCTGCAAGATTGCAACGTTTCTGCAACGTAACTGCAACCATCTGTGCTGTATGGGTTGGTTTAGGAAATCTTTATTATTAGATTCATGTGTATCAATACAGTCACATTTCTAACATAATCTATTTCAACTGATTATCCAGTTCCCGCTTTATCTCTGCTTCATTTTATTATATCAATGTGATTACACGTGATGAAAATTTTATAATTAACAAACAATAACCGCTGTACGAAGATCATACTCTGTATTGAAAATCCGAGATTTAATAAATTAAAAAGAATAACTAGAAAGAATACTCTATCGTTAACGGAGTATCCACGTTTTTTTAGGACTAATCGAGCAAAAAGCTAAAGTAACGTTGCATTTCTTTGCAGGTCGTGGAGAAATACTGGTACGATATGTGGACTATCTGCGTTAATACTCTACTTGGCGGTAGACTGGTGGTACACGGCAAAGATATTCTACTTGAGGATTTAAGCAAGAAGAGTGCCATGATAGAGGCGGTTGCGGCGTGTCTTCCCAAAGACTCCGCAAAAAGAGACACCGGCGCGGTTCCGGGAGATCGTAAGGGAGCGGCTGGTGTCGACTCAGCTCTCTTTGCGCATCTGAAACGTAATTGGAACTGGTCAATCAATTATTCTATGCATCAGCAGGTAAAAAAGTACAGAAATCATTCAAGATTGCTTTGAAAAGAATCTCTCGTTTGGGTTTCAAAAGTTTTTAGAATCTTTAGACTAACGTTATATTTAATGCAAAAGACAATATAAGTATTTTTATGTAAGGTAACAAGTATTTCTGTTCAGTAAGTTTCTTGTTTAACATTCGGCAAATTTCTGAATGTAAGTTTGTTTTAAATCTACTTGATATCGAGATCAATTTACTCATCAATATTAGTATAAGTATTAGATTGTATTTTGATATATCGACTAGAACATATCGATACGTTTATTCGAATATTTTCTTTGTTACCAGACTTCTAGGAATCAGGGAAAATCCAGCACAGGTCAACGGGATTTGCATCTGTCGAAGATTCAAGCGAAACCAGTCAAGTTCACGGAGTACGATGGCCTGAAGAAGATATCAGGGCCGCCACCGCCGGCTACCGTCAACGCGAGTGATTTGCAGAAAAAAGTGTACGACCATCTCAGCACCGGCGGACGGAAGAACAAGGCTCTGCCGTCGCATCAGTCCAGCAAGCAGAAGTCCTTCGTGCGGCGCGTGATGCCGCGCAAGAAGAGCGTACGGAAGCCTCGTCTCAAGTACGACGAGGACGACTATCGGGCGATGCAACGGATGGAGAAGCTGCGGGTGGACTGGGAATCGCACGAGGACAACATCCTGCTGGTGTGCAAGGTGGCGACGACCTACCTGTCGCCGAATCCGCGCAAGCAGGTGGTGAGCTTCATAGCGGTGCGAGACGTGTTGCGAACGTTCTCTTACAACTCGTACAACAAGACCTCGCGCGCCTGTCAACGCCGATTGATGTACATGCTGCGACAGCCACGCACGGTCAACAGCGTCGCGCTTGGCGTCGAGGAGATCAAGCAGGACCCGTTTGTCGACAAGCGATACGGCGGCACCATGGACAGGCTGAAAGGCGAGTGTTCGAGCTCGGCGGAGTACGAGAAGCGGGTGACGGATGTTTTCAAGGAGCTCGTTGGCTACATCGTTAAGAAGTATTACGACATTGCGGAGATTAAACCGAAGAAACATATGGCGATGCCGAAGACCGTGCAGGAGTTTAATCTTCTCTTCGAGGTGGTTCACCCGATGAAGCCACGTCACAATCAGGGCTTCACGAAGGACGTGCGAAACACAAACGATATTCATTCGGCGACTATCAATTCTGTTATACACAGCTCCATGTGTTGTGGAAAGGACAGACGTTCTTGGGCTTATCAACTCTTCAAGGTATGATCAACATGTGATACGGAATATTCTCTTCATAAAACATAGTACTTCAAAGCACGTTTATCCTGAAACTTATGCACGTGTCATTCAATTTTTAAATGTTGAACAACATAAAACCAACGTCCAATTTTTTTTCAACTTACTAACAAATGTTGCGAATAACGTTCTCCTTTTTATTCTCGTTTCCTTTTTAAGATGTCAATCTTTATTGTTAGCTAAAATTTATCTCGCACTTAATTTATATCACTAATGTGCTCATAACTTTAAAATTTCTTCCACTGCACTGCAAAAAATGTTTGATCGGTACTCATTAGCGGCTTTTCCATTGAAGGTATACCAACACTTTTCGGAGGTCCTTTTGAAGCAAGCGATGAATAAGATCAGATCGGATCAGATGGTGACTGTAAAGAAGCACCACTTGGCGACTATTAAGAAGTACGGAAATTGCATGCCGATGAGCAGCTCGCAGTATCAACTCAGTATTAACTACATCTACAAGTTCCAGACCAAGTGGACTTATGATGTCTTCAAGGAGACCTACGATGTTTTCGTGAGATTACTGCAGTGGTATTCAGAGCACAGAAGCACCGTCCCCACGGTGAAACGGGAAACGGTGTATGATGGTATTGAGATTCCGGTTTCCAGCGGCATCGTCACCATCGCGCATGATCTTCTAGCACGCGGTCAAATCGACTTCGACATCGAGATGCCAGACCAAATCATCATGTTGGACGCGAGATACCAAGGCAAGGACGAGACCTATTTCAGGGTTGCCCAAAGATATCAAGATATTTTGACGAGACTTTATCGCTTTAAATTCGAGAACGTTGATGCTCAGAACGCTGGAATTCCTGAGCCTGAAACGAAAGAAATTTCTCATAAAACGCAAGAAGGTTCTTTGAAAAAAAGGAGATCCGTCGGAGACAGAGATCCTGAAGAACCAATGCCGAAGATCTCTCGTAAAAACGAGGAAAGTAACGGAAGAAAACAAAAGAGCCAAGCTCAGCAAAATAAAGATACATTGCTCGAGGGGAAGCTATCGCTTTACGAAAGCGACAAGGGCAAAGAGACGAATTCGAAGAATCGTCCTCACGAACAAAGTGGAAGGAAAACTCGTGTATCAAGAAAGAAATCTGCCAATATTGAAGAGGATTCCATGGACTACGAAGAGCCATTCTCGAAAAGAGCAAGACTAAGCTTCGAGGACTCGATGGATCTCGAGGACTTGGAAGAAAGCGAGGAATCGAAATTCTTCGAGGAGGAATTGTGCGAAGCTTTTCGAGAATGCACCGAAAAAGTACTTCCGGATAGCTCCAAGTCTCTTACATTGATGAATGAATTAAGGGAGCAGATAAAAGAAGAAGGTATATGATAATAAAACTGTTATCTCTATAGAAAAAATTATTATCTTCTATTGTAATATGTATAATTGAATTTATTGTTGTTTTTTATTATTTTCAATATTCGTTTCTAGCATGTCTGATAATTTTTCGGTATTTAATAAATGAGTAAAGTATTCTGTGCGTGTATACAGTTTATATGTAACATCAGATTATACTGTGATTTCCAACCAGATTTTATAATTGATTAAAATGATATAAATATATTGTTTTAATGGCCAGCTTCTTCGACAATGCCGAACGATATGACCAATGTGACTTCGATTCCTCGACGTGTCAGCGAGATTATTAGGAACATATTACCTGAAACGAGTTACTTCAATTCTGACAAGGCGAAAAATTCGAGCGAAATCCAAAAGAGATACACCAGAATAGCCATGCTGAGGATGAGAGAAGAGCTGAACGATCTCTCGGTAACGGACAGTCATCACGCGCACGAGTTCTTCGTGGTCAATAGCTTCAGAGTGTTTTATAGCTTGGAAACATCGCCGTCGATAGCATCCGCGTCGTTAAATGATATTGAGAATTTTAAAGGTCACTCAGTGCCTAGCCAATTAGTGCCGTTGAAGATCGAGACTGTAAATGATTTTCTCGGCGAATTAAATCGGACTGCCACTTTTCCAAAGACCGTTCTCTCTTACACAAACTACAAGAAGAACGTGATTGTATCCAAAAAGAAGGAAGTAACAGTCAACTGGAAATACGTCGACGCGGTGTACGAGTTCGTCCAGGAGAAGAAAGAAATCGGCGCTTGCTCGCAGGAATTACTGGTAATTTGTCCTTCATGGAAAGAGCAATTTTGTCGTTGCCTTTCTCTGTCTATTAGCGGCTAATTTTCGGATTTAAAAAATTCACACTTTTCCTACAAATATATTGCTAACTCAATTGTATCTTTTTTGTTTCATACAATCATTGCTTTTTCTTCTCTTGTCCAGGATATGTTCTTTGCTGAGCAAGGAGAGGATTTGTACAAGGTCATTTCGCTTTTAACAGATAATAATATATTTTTACGCTCTGGCGTCATCAAACCACGCTATATCCATCATCGTTACGTGGATCCTTGGCTGATTCAGTCCTGCAAGATAAATCGCCTTGAACAGGAGTCTCTAGTGCCGTTCAAGGATAGTATATATGCCACGATGCAGCAGGGAGACGCAACTGAGACAAACGCTGAGGCGGATGCGAAAGATACAAATCTCCACAATGAAGAAGAAGATACAAGTGAAAAACGTAATATTATTACTTTATTATAATGCAATTGCATAACTTAATTTTGTTGAAGTACTTATCTCATACTTATAAACGACCACTTCAATTTTCGACAAGTTTTTAGTACTACAAGATTCTAAATATAAGGGTAGGTCATTTTAATCTAAGCACTGAAATCTCTCAAAATCCGTAAGTTTAAGACAAAAATGTTTCAGCTTTACAACTCAAAAAGTTCTTGATAAAAAATATCTTATTACTATTTTGAAAAGCTCTCGAGGTAAGCTATAACAATATGCAAAAATATACAGGATGTTCCATTTAAAAAATTAAATGTGACCTTCATGTGACCTTCAAATAACTCTTCAAGGTCAAACCAATGGTACCCTATTATGGCCCCCTCGAAACCATACAACTTTTGTCTGAAACATTTTTGTCTTAAACCTATGGATTTTGAGAGATTTCAGTGCGTAGATTAAAATGGTCTACCCTGTATATCTCATTTGAAATGTTTTTTAAGTTGAGAGATTTATAAAAGTATTTTTATATCACTTATTTCACTATCAGTTTTTCTCGTATTACTAAGTCTAGAGTGACAATACGAATCAGTCTCCAAATTTGTTGAATTGTTAAATAGATTAAGTTATCTTGTAGCATTTTGTCTTTAAAGATCAATACTTATTAAAATAAATATCTGGTAGATGAAACAGATAGTGCGGTACCATCGACATCATCGGAAACCAACCAAGAAGTCAAAGAGGAAAACAGCAAAAAGGCGGACAATGACTTAAATAATGAGGAAGATGACATGAAGAAAGATAGCGAGATCAACGAGGAGAGCAGTCCACGTACAAGGAAAAGGACTTATAAGCAAAAGATGCGGTTACTTCCACAAAAGGACGTGTACAAATCTGCGCAGCAAATAGATTTCTCGTAGTGTATCAAGAAAGAACGAGCAAGAAAAATTCTCAGGAGTCTGTACCACTCGAAAATAATACCAATCAACTGTTTCCTTTCAGACATTCCGAGGAAATAAAAGTCCTGATAAAGCCATGGATACGTATAGACGGCGTGCTGAATCGCAAAGTTTTAGATCGAATGTTAGGCGCGGTTCTGAGTTACTGCTTGCTCCATCCTGGGCTCACGATGTCAAAAGTGCAAAGCAGATTCGTCCCTGCCCTACAACCCTTTCACACGCGCGAATTGCTCGAGGTGCGTTTTATTGATTGTCTGGAAATTGATAAATCAGTATTCTGGGCTTCTTTCTATCAAAGATACTCTACTAGGTCTCATATTGGAGATAAATGGAATTACTACATAATTTCCACGACAACTTATTGTTTCTCTTTTTTTATGTTATTGTCTAACGCAGAAAGCTCTTTGTTAATGAACGTAATTTTTGCAGATGCTAATCAAATTGGGATGTTTGGAGAGTAAGCTCTTGAAGAGAACACGAGTTACTCTGTTCTCTCCACCGCCTGAAATTAACATCAGTGATCTAAGTACGTAATTATTATTACTAAAGCCAACGGTACACGATACTATTTTTCCTATTGGATTGCTTACGAGAATCAATAAAGCCCGTATCGGACTACGGATTGAGATTGAGATTAGATTGAAATTTGACCAGTCACAGTAAAGTTTACTAATCTCAAGTTTAGTAACTTTAACTCTAATTGGTCAAGATTCAATCTAATCTCAATCTCAATCCGTAGTCTGATACGGGCTCAAGGATGCAGAGTTTTAGATCGGGTGACTTAAAGCTGAATCCTGATTGGTTCTCGTAGGCAATCCAATAGAAAAAATAGTGTCGTGTGCCGTTGGTTTAAGATCGAAAACTTTTGAATTCCTTGATAGTTGTTAATTATTATTTGCATCATCGGTGGCATGGTTACATTTTCTGTATTAATCATCGCATGCTGTACATTGTATGATGCTCTCAAAATATTCTAAAAATTCAATTTCTATTTTCCCTAACCAAGTAAATAGATGCTAATTTCAAAATGCTATAATATCTCTCTAATATTTTCGTCTTTTAATTACTTTAGGATAATTTACTTTCTTGCACAATTTATACATTTATTTTGTAATTTTGTATAATAATACAATTCAATTTTACCACAAATGTTACGCAGAATCTTAGATTATGTTATTCACAACTTCTACTATTTTGATGTATACTTTTTTTTTCTTTATCTGACGTCAAATTCGTCATAATGTACTACTTGCAAATATAGTCTTATACACATACAATGTATCCTTATATATTCTTTTGTTATTTTTAGCTGCAGATACCGTTGGTTGGTCCGCCGAAGATGAAATAGTATTCGAACCTAAAATAGATGCCATAATGAAATTCAGCATATTTTTGAGTACGAGAACATACAGCACAGATTTTATGCCGTAATTATGTGTAAATTTATCTGTATTACACACCCTGTATAACCATTATATATATTATTTTATTTTTATACTAAAGATTTAATTTTTAAGTATAAAATAATATTTATGCAAAGACTGGAATATGTTGAGAGCAGCATACGAGGTTAATACAAAGAATGTATTATACAATATAAATATAGATATTTTTTTATTTGTGTATAGGCAGGATTAGAAAAACACTGTTTTCAAATAAAGTTATTAGGATAATCCTTCGGCTATTCATTTTTTTAAATGCCTAATACTCTATGATTTTATCAGTATAAAATAAAAATTGCACTGAATTTAAGAGTAATATATGATTATAATGTAATAATTTGAGTAAAAGATATACACATATGAAGTTCTACGATAAATTAAATATTTAAAGTAATTTTAAAAAGACGAAGATATTAGATATTATGGAAGATGGATATTTTGAAATTAGCACCTGTTTCCTTAATTAGGCAAAATGAAGTTAATTTTTAAATACGAAATAATGTTCACGCAAAACTAGAATATTTTGAGAGAATGTACGACGCGCAGGATGTGTTTTCTACGCGTGTGCAACCTCGAAGCACAGTATAACCAGTATGCCCACTCGCTCTTTTGTTTCACGTTCGCGCCATCCGTACCACAGTA